TGTTTTTGATGGACTCTATTTTGGACCAGCAGAGAGCCCAGTTGTACAAATGTGCCATGTGGTATCATAAAAACTGTTGTCTTGATTAATTTGCCTCATTAACCTATTTGCCTATAAATGACCATCTGTCATGATTAGGAGCTGCATACTCTTTGGTTAGTCTATCTAAAATTTGGTTGAAATTATGGTTTCTGGTTTAATATGATCTACATAGGGAGTTCATGCACTATTTCCCTTGGTAAATACCAGATAATTTGGGGAACAGGTGGCAAATGTATGAGGAGATGAGCTAATATACCCCAGAAAAGTGATAAACATACCTTAGGATGGTAGAATGGGGATAGGTCTATTGTAAAGTCTAAACCTTCAAGATACCAAGGTAATGGAGATAATTAACAATGGCTAGAGGAGACACATTATTCAACCGAACATATAAACATCAACATTCCTACTTCATCATTCAGCTGAAATCTGAAGACCAGCGTCTTGTTGGTCCGTTGTTATCTCTTGCATTCTGGAATGAGTCATGATCTCAATACAGCCACCAGTAATGTTGGCATATGAGTCCTAATTTCTTCCAAGCATCCTGCCAGCAAAAGATTTTTGATATACTCATGAAATTTCTTTTCATCATTATGATAGTAAGGCAGCTTGCCCCTGGAAACATAACTAAGGCTTCCTATTATCTACTCCAAAAGACTATGTATTCTTGTTACAATCTCGTGCTTACAGCAGGAACAGAGTACTTGCTTGAACCAGTCATTTTCATTAGCCCTGCTAGCACACTGGACAATTTCACAACTGTTGCCTTAGTCCTCCCATCCCACTACTAGCTTACCACCTACACACTGCTCTCTGATCCCTGAGAAAACTCCATCCTTATTCCGTTTAATGATTGATGAGTCTGCCTGGAATCTTCATATAGTGAGGAGATGTAAATCTGCCTGAACTGATTGTTTAGTAATTAATATACTCCCATCTTATCACAGAATCCCCGTCCCAGTAATCTTGAACTAACAACTATAATTGTTCAATAAGGAACAGCTGTCCCCCATTTCATACGGCATGCTTGCTAGTACTTATCCCCTAGCCACAGTCCCGCACAAGATTGACCTGACCTAGTTTCCTGCTGATGGCCTCTCATTCTTGACCACCATTTTCAGCATTGGTTGCACTTCATTCATTCTCCCAAATCATCATCATGGTAGTGGGGTCAGAATACTCCTTGCTCCCATTGTCCCTTCCAGATTTTCCCTCTACCACCATTATTCAGTAACATTTCTTCCTTTGAGATTCATTCAAACCGTGTTTATCATGTAATCAAGGTTCTTGAAGCTATTGTGTACTGATCTCTAGAATACTCCCCATTATCCTTCAATGAATTCAATGCTTGACTCATAGTCCTTTCTCCTCAATTTCTTTCCTAATATTAGGGCATTTCAACATACATATGGATACTCAAACACCTTAACCTCCTAGTTACCCAACTTATTCATTTTCCCACAACTCCTCCTCCACCCTATCTCAACCACATAAAGAAAGGGTGCTGCCCTTGACCTTGCCATCATCCATGAGTCTTCCCAATTCCATGTCCATGAACTCTGAAGTTCCTCGATCTAATCATAATCTTTTGTCATTCTACCATTCCCTCTGTCATACAACTCTTAACTTTGTTCTTCGTCCTCACTTATGATCTCCAATTCCTCTCCCTCTCATTTCTTTCCCAGATAATCACCCCTGCAATAGCTACGTTTTCCTATTTCCCTCTTGATACTTCGGTAAAAAAAAAAAATCATGAACTGTGCTAACTGGGCCCATTTATTTTATATAATATCAACTGGGCAGCTAGGTGGCACAACGTATAGAGCACTGGGCCTGAAGTCAGGAAGATTTCTCTTTATGATTTCAAATCTGACCTCAGACACTTAGTAGCTGTGTGACCCTGGGCAAGTCACTTAACTCTGTTTGCCTCACTTCCTCATCTGTAAAAATGCCCTGGAAAAAGAAATGGCAAATCACTCCAGTATTTTTGCCAAGAAAATCCCAAATGGGGTCATGAAGAATCAGGCATGACTGAACAGCACCAGCAACAAAATAATCTCAACTGGACTAATTGTAGCAAGGCAATCCTTTTATATGTTTCTAATCAATTCATTTCCCCACTCTCCACAGTGACTTTTTCTAAATCTTTTTGTCTCTCCTCAAACCAATCATAGCTTCCCCTTACTTCAACCCTCTCAGCTGAGATCCTTGCCTCACATTTCACTGAAAAATCAAGGCCGTTCACAGAGAGCTCTCTCTTCTCCCCTTCTCATCTCACATCACTGAAATACCTTCGCTATGATCTCTTCCTTCACCCCTGATGCATATGAAGACGTGGTCCTTCTCCTTACCAAGAAAACCTTCTCTACATGGGCAAGTGATCCCATTCCATCCCATCTTCTCCAGAAGATTGCCTTCATTATAATCCCTATTCCCTCCCTGACTACCACCTGCTTCCTTGTCTCCCCTCTCCTTAAAAACAAACACAAAAACCCTTATTTTATCCATTCCTTGCCACTAGCTATCATCCTATAGTTTTCATCCCTTTCATGCCTATAGTACTTCAGAAGACCATCTACATTTGGGGCCTCCACTTCCTTTCCTCTCACTCTCTTAATTCCCTGCAGTCTGACTTCCTGCCTCACCATTCAGCTGAAATTCATCTCAGCAAAGTAACCATTGATCTCTTACTTGACAACTTTAATGACCTTTTCTTAACTTTCAACCTTTTTATCTTTTTGATCACTCTCTTCTCCTTGATAATTTTTTCTTAGGTTTTTCCAACACTGTTCTCTCTTGATTCTCTTCCTACCAGGCTGACCACTTTTTCTCAATATCCTTTGTGGGATCTTCATGAAAGTCATACCCACTAACTATGTATTAGTGCCCAAGGCTATTTTTTGGCCCATTTCCTTTCTCCTTCTGTACTATTTCTCTTGGTGAGCTCATCAGCTTCCATAGATTCAGTTATTATCTCTGATCTGTTTGCCCAGCCCTAACCTCTCTCCTGACCTCCAGTGTCACATCTCCAAATGCTTATTGGACATCTTGACTATGTATTCCATAGACATCTTAAACTCAGTACGTACAAAACTGAGCTCATTTTCTTTCCCCTAACCATCTCTTCTTCTCTAATTTCCCCATTATTATTTAGGGTACCACCATCTTCCTAGGCACACAACCTAGGTATCATCTTTAACTCTTTACTCTCTCTAACCCCGTGTCCTGCCCATATCCAGTCTATTACCAAGTCCTATTAACTCTACCTTCACAACATCTCTCATATATAATGCCTTCTCTCTTCTGACACTTTTACCACTCTGGTGTAGGCCCTCATCATCTCATGCCTGGACTATTGCAGTAGTCTTCTGGTTCATCTTCCTGCCTGAAGTCTCTCTCCACTGTAGTCCATCCTCCATTTAGCTGTCAAGTTGCTCTTTCTAAAGTACAGGTCTGACCATATCACTTTCCTGGTCAATAAACTCCATTGGATCCCTACTATATCCAGGATCAAATATAAAATGATCTGTTTGGCTTTTAAAACCCTTCATAACATGGCCTCTTTCTACTTTTCTAATCTTCTTACCACTTATTCTCCCCTTCAAATACTCAGTAATCCAGTGACACTCATCCTTGCTTTCCTCCTACGTTACTATCCATTTCCTAAGTCTGAGTATTTTTGCTGGCTGTTTCTCCTGCCTGGAATATTCTACTTCCTCACCTTTACCTCCTGGCTTCCTTTGTTTCCTTCAAGTTTCAACTAAAATCTCACCTTCAGCAAGAAGACTTTTCTCATCTCCCTTAATGCTAGTGACTTCCCTCTGTTGATTCCAATTTATCCTACCTATATCTTATACATCATTCTTTACGGATTGTCTTTTCCATCAGGTTGTGGGCTCATTAAAGGCAGGGGCTATTTTCACCTTTCTTTGTGCTTGGCCCAGTCCCTGGCACATAGTATATGCTTGTGGACTTAGGATACCAGGAAATCACCAGGAAAACCCCTCAAATCCCTATTAGATCCTCATTGAAGGTAGAAACTCCCAAATAGTAAAGTCAGCTCAGTTGAAGGGAGGCTATAGTGGAAGTATACGTTAGAAGATATCACTTTTATGTCCTGTGCATCTATATCAACCACAGAGGGGTCATGGGAACCTAGATACATAAGCTTAGGAGCCAATGTAAGCATTTCTTGAGTTCACCAAAAGACGCCTCTCTTGCAGGTGTCTAGTAGGAGGCCTTTGCAGACCTTATCAGGCTAGTAGGAGGGTGTCACACACCTTCATAGTTTACAGAAAACTTTAAGCATATTGTTTTGTTATGATGGAAGGGGATTATGAGTACTAGCAAGACTATGAAGGAGATAAGGTGGCTTTCCCATATTAAGGTGTCAATGTACAATTATCCCTTCCACATTAGGTTAGGGGCACAGCACCCCTGTAATCTGGAAAATCTGCATAAAAAGTTTTGGCCCCACCTTTGTCAGAGAAGTCTGAATTATTATGCTATTAAAAGATAAAATATGTTGATATTATATAATACTACACATATATTCTATGCATTTTTGAGTTTCTAAACTTTTTCTATCTCATCTGCTGGACTTCATGTGTCATCTGCGACTTCCACAAAACTCCCCCTAAAAATTCCCATTTAGTTTCTTATGCTGACCCATGACATATCAAAAACGTGCTGGGGAAGGTCATAGTGGAAGGTATAACTAATCTGAAGTTGCAAGGTCTGATCCTGGTTCTGCCACCAATTAGCTGAGCAGCTTTAGCAAATTATTGCACTTTTCTGAAATTTAGTTTCCTATCTGTAAAATGGAGGGCTTGATCTCTAATGTCCGTAAGTGAGAGGTGTGGTCTTCTATGGTTATGATGTCCTAGAATTAGGGGGCTTAAAATTTTTCCTCTGCGGAAGAAAGAGGAATGAGGTAGAACCTTGAGTCCTAGTTGGAGACACGTGATTAGGGGTTTGTGACCTGGTTCAATTTAGAAGATTTAGAAGCACAGCATCAAGCTCCTCTTTTACATCCTTCCTCTTTCTCTCACTCTTTTTCCATCTGGTGGCTGAAGGAGAGGGAACCCCCTCTTCTCTCAGAGACCACAGAGATTAGAGACTTAGTGGGCCTCTTCCAGCTTTTCCCTTTTCCAAGGTGATAACTTTAAGAGCAATGTCCTGGCTTCACTCTAGTGCTCTTCCTCTTACTTGATCTTCCTCCTGGTTGGTCATGGCGTAGCAGAAGCTTTTGGGGGTTCTAGTCCAAACTCGCTATTTGATCTCACTCTCTTCCTTTTCGTTTGTCAATTTCTCTTCTCCTTTCCCTATGTTGAACAGAAGACTTAGAGTATTAGTCCCACGTCTATCTTCTTCCCATCATATCACCCACAAATGTTGGGAAGTCAATGTGACTCCATATCTAGGCAGGCCCCACTGAGCTCAGTCAGTATTGATTGATTTGTATGCTCACCAGTAAACCAACAGGCTCCTTTAATGGTCCAGATGCTCGATAGTTAAAATTATATCTTATCTGTATTTATTGCCATTTTGATAATTTTTTCTACATGCATAAAGTGATGGCAGAGCCTATACTTGCAAACCTGTGTAGTATTCTACTACTTCCCGTTAAACTTCTTTCCTTTCCAAACAAAATCATAAATTTGTTTTCTGGGATTTAGCTTTATCAGTTTCCTGTGTCCACTGCCCCAGGGACCCTAGAATACTAGCTCTCAGAAGACTTGGGGTACAAGCAGACTTCGATAAGAGTGGCGGAAGATGCTAAGAGCATCTTCCTCAGTCTCCTCTTTTTCTGTCAAGTTGGTAAACAACATATAAGGTAGAGCTGTTTTGCAGTGGATGGACTCCACCTCCATGAAAGACCTGTAGCAGGTCCTCAGGCTTATGAGATACTATTGCCATTTTATACTCAGGTTTTCTCCTTTGACAGCCCCTCCCTTTGAAGCATTCCAGTTATTTCCAGTGAGCAATAGAGGAAGGGAAGGGTATATTTAATAACCTGAAGAACCTGGTTTACCTGAGACCTTATCAGCCAGAAAGCAGGATCAATATGCCTATACTCCAGTCTACTTGTCTAGTCTTCAAGAAGAAATGTTGCCCAAACTAAGGATGGATCCATCTTGAATAGGCTCTGATTACTCTTACATGACCTCTTCTGTCAAGGCATGATAAATAATACTCTAACTCTGCTAGGATGACCTGGTGTTGTTGTTTATGACCTTTTGTGGCCATACCTATGACATAATCTTAGTTGGCATGTCCTATCATATCAAATATGGTTTTGGGCCAAAGACCTAGTAGATGAGCTAGGTAACAAGCCTGCCTCTCATTCTACACTTATTACCTCTCTGAAAAAGGGGAAGGTATGTTTCGTTATCAGTCCTTTGGAATCAAGATTGGTCACTTCACTGATCAGAATGATGATATCTTTCAGTGTTGTTTTCTTTTACATTGTTGTTGTTGTTTGTCCTTCATTCTCAAAGAGGATGGAGGTGATGTCATGACATGAAAGTGAATTGGATTTAAGTGAGGGAGGGCTGTGCAAAGTCACCAGCCTCACTTGGTTGTTGTGTAGATGACCGTTTCCCTCTAAGATGACCTCCCAGCTGCTCTGTATGTATCTTGTATGTACCTATTTATTTATTAATTTATTTTCCCCATTAGAATGTGAAGACTTAGTCAAGTGCCTGGCCAATAGAAAGCACTTAATATTATTGACTGTTTCAAATATCAATTGAAAATTAATATTAACTGAATACCAATTGTTTTGAATATTAATGTTTGAATATTGACTGTTTTCTTGATTCTTCTTAATTCACTGCATCAGTTCATAAGTTTTCCCATATTTCCCTGTTTTTCATGGTACAACAATATTCCATTGTATTTATATAACACAACAAAACAGACATTTCAGATCATACAGAACACGTTGTTTCAAAATGTAGAAATTAAGTGGTTTTATTACAGACACTTCAATAAGGAAATGGGGATGAGAGAGCCTTTATGTTTGACTTAGGAGTGAGGTAAAAGATGTTTCAATTCTTTGATTTAAGCCTATTCCCAAGCCCCACTTTTTTTTTGGTCACAGTGAGATTCTTTTCCCTTATTCAATTCTTTATCTCTCTCATTTAAGGAAGAAATTTGAGGTACAAGAAGATGATACCAAAGCATCCCAGAGCTCTGTCACTCCCAGTGCCATAGCAACCAAACTGTCCTTGTCTTCCTGGGCTGGAACTTAAAATATTTAGGAGTAGAGGGTTGGGAGCCTTGAAAGTTCTGCTTTTCATTCTGTTCACTTATTGACAATATCCATGGATTTGGGGGCTTCTATAAGTGTACACACTCTGGAAAGCTGTGGATGAGATTTTCTGCTTTGTTAAGGTACATAAGACCGTACTCAGAGCATCAGTTGCTCACGTCCATTCCAACCTACTTAAAAATGTCATACCCTAAACTTTAATGAATATGTACCATGCTAGTCTTCAATGTTTAATGTATTTTTAAAATATATTTAACAATCATTAAGCTGAAAAAGTTGTCTTTGACCATAGCATTTGTTTCTCCTCTAGCTGTAGTCATTGGTATTCTTCTCCTCTTTATGTCTGTAGAACACAAGATCAGTCCAGAGCAAATATAGTTCAACTGATTCTACAAACATAGGCGCTCGTAAAGACCATACATAAATGGAATAGAAAGAGGAAATTTAATCCATTAAATTTCTGCCAAAGCCATCTCCTAATTACCAATTGTCCAAATCTAATTTCCTTTAGGCCCTGGGCACAAACAAACATAGATGCCAGTTGTAACATTTGTGTTTTAGAAATCCAGGGAATTGTGACTTTTGTTCTTAGTCTTTGTATCCCTGGAGACATTGACATTGTTTTGCTCTATCTTCTTCCAGACAGAAGAAAGGAGAAAGTTATTCTCAATTATGTATCTCTTAGTCAACCTGGCATTCTTGATTTCAACAATTTTCATGCCCCTGCTCAGAGGTCAGTATTGGCTTACCAGGGAACTGAATGGGGTGGAATGTCTTTGCCATGATCTCTTTCAGGGCTCTTAGAAAAATGGTTGTGTGATACAATAAATAGAATGCTGTATTTGGGGTCAGAGAATGTGGGGTCTATCCTAGCTCTGACACTCACTAATTGTGTGACCTTGGACAAATCATTTAACCTCTCTGAGCCTCAGTTTCTTCATAAATGAAATAAGGAGGTTGGATCAGAAAATTTCTAAGGTCCCATCTAGCTCTAAATCTATGATCTGAGGTGACATTGTCCTGAGAAGCTAAGCTGGTTCAGCCTGTGGTAGACTTTGGCAAACTTAAATGCTCAGGAGTATCCACACTTTAACTAATATAGATATTCCAGAAAAGTTGCATGTTAGTTGAATTTTGGGAAACTGATTCATATTTGAAATGAGGCACAGCATATAGTAAACAATGAATGCTTATTAATTAATTGGCTAAAGGTACCCATGTTGAAGCTTTTTGAAAATGAACAATCTTGCCCTGATTAACTTATTAAACTAATCAATTCATTATTGTTTTTAAAGCTAATACTTTCTTAAAGCAAGGAATGCTTTTAATAATAAAAGGATAAAAATAATTCATGCATTATTTATGTGCATGAAGTAGAATAGTGTTTTATCTTTATACCATTCTCTACCTTATAGGATTTTTTACAAAAAATATTTTTTTCCTATTTTCTATATGCAAATAAGAAATGATAAAATTATTTAAACTGTAGTCTTGTATTTCTACATCTACACTCTGGACATTTTCATTTTTATTTATTTTATTAATATATTTAATGGGCATGGTAGAAAAATACTATATGGGGAGTCAGGAAACTTGAATTTCTGCTTCCAACATTGCCCTTAAATTCACTCTGTGTGGGGCATTGGGCAAGTTACTTTCCCCCTCAGACCTTCAGTTTCCTCATCTGGACAATGAGGGGACTGAACTAGATGATCTCTGAAATCCCTTCTAATTCCTGGATCCCATGATCCAATGGTCAAAGGTATTAATAGATTCTCATTGAAAGGAGTATAGGACAAACTGGGATGAACTAAAATTTTTACTAAGCTGGCTTTAAAAGAGAACCTGGTTCACTTCCACAAAGGATTAATGAAAGAGATTAGACAATCACAGACAATTTGAACATCTCTTGGAATATGCAATATGCTTGTTATGTTCAGAGGTTCATGATGCCATTTTTCAATATGTATTCTACTGGAGTATCTGTGGTCAAAATATCTTTATCTATTCTATTGATCCTGGAAAGCATGTCCAGCTCATCACGGTGCTGTTGGGGCATTTTTTTTTTTGTTGAGAAATAACTGCATGCCAAACTGGAAAAGGGCCAAGAAAAGTGGAGTTTCTGTTGCACATTATAGAGATATAGCGGGTCAGAATGGAAAGCAAAAAGGTAAACATGATTTTAACCTGGGGATCTAGACCAATATCAAAGACTTGTAGTGGTTGCTGGGATTTGCAGTATACTACTACGGATTTAACACAGTCCTCTTTTTTCTGTAGTTCCCCCAACAACCTGAATCCAGTGGTTAATTATTACGGAGAAAATGCAGTATTTGATGTTCCCCTCTTGGCCTATACTGTTCTTTTATGTTAGAATTCAGGACTTCAAATGTAGTTGTCAGGGCCGTTTTATTCCAGATAGAACTGTAGTTCAATGTTATCTCATGCCAGCTTCTCTTTGAGCTTCTTGTTGGAAGCATGCACCTACCCCTCCTGGGAGAGCAATAAAAGGTGATGAAACCACCATAGAGTGTGACCACTTTAACTTGGAATATCAACAAACAGACTAAAAACTAAAAGTCAGTGATAGGGCAGGTATTCATGTGTCATATCCAGGTTGATTCCTCACCTGTCCTGTAGTACCAAACTCTTGTAACCTGAAATCTGGACCTTTCCTCAAATCAGCCTTGCTGCTTGCTGTGGATTGTTTGTTTCCACCCTCATTTTATCTCCTACATTGCCTTTTTATCTCTGGCTCTTTCCAGGCAATAGACCACTTCCATTGCTTCCTGGTATCTGGAGACAACTTCCCCAGCTCCAAATTAGGGTTTGGCTGGCACCACGAACCTTGCCTAACCATGATCACTGCCTGGCCCTCCTTCTATTCCTTCTCCCCTGGCAGTCAGGTCACATGAAGCAGTACAGATAGCACATTTTAGAAGGGACACTGACAAACTGGAACATGTTCATAGGAAGGCAGCCAGGATTGTAAGAGGATCCAAAACTTTTGCCATAGATTGGTAGAAGGGATTAGGGATGGTTAACCTCTATAAAAGATGTTCCACAGGAGGTACATTGCTACTAATGTCACCCTCAAAAGACAGCTTGGAGGGTAGAACCAAGACCAATGAATTTGTAGAAGTTCCGAGGAAGCAGATTGTGGGTCAACATAAAGAAAAACTTCCTGGTAATTAGGGTTGTCCAAAAATTGAATGGGTTGCTTTTCTAGGAAGTAAATTTCCCATTACCAAGTCTCCAAGTGAAGGCAGAGTAACCACTTATAGTAAAAGATATAGTAAATAGATATAGTAAAAAGAATTTAACCTTTGGGTGTGAGTTGGACTAGTAAGATGATTTCTGCAGCCCTTTCCAACTCTGAAATTCTAATATCCTATGATTCTATGGTCATTTATTGCAGACCTTGTGATCTGTTAAAATTTCTAAGATTATCTCTAAGAATCATATTGACAAAAATGGGGGAAGAGAATGTGGAGAATCACACTTAATTCTTGGCATTCTGTGCTATCCTCCTCCCATGGACATCTTGGAATGATTAGTGTGGAATGGAGGTATGTGTCCAAATACCAAAAGTCATTATATACATTTTGATCAGAGGCTTCCTGGTGGAATTTTGGGCAGCACTTGTCAGAGTTGGGAATATACATATGTGTGTGTGTGTGTGTGTGTGTGTGTGTGTGTGTGTGCGCGTAGATAGATAGATAGATAGATATAGCTATAGATAGAAAAGAGAGAGTTCTAGATATATAGATCACACCAGATCATAAACAATAGCACAATAGTTGGGATGAGGAGAAATGAGGCCAAGTTGTTTTAGGAGAGGTGAAAGGCATGAGGGCAAATGAAGCTAAAGATTCAGAACCAGATGAGCATTGTTTAGTGTCAGAGGATATGGACACAGATTAGAGCAAATCTATGAGTTAAGAACAAGGTGATTAACTGTAAGTCAGGGCAAAATAAAGTGTAAGCTTTGGATCAATCAGAAGATTGGAAGCTAGGAAGGCAGGAAAGCAGGCAATAACCACTGTGGGGGAGAGCAATATGGGAGCTCCAAGGGAAGGCAAAAAGTCAGGAAAACAAAAAGCTAAATTATATTAAAGCATGTTGAGGATTCAAATATTCATTTAAACAACTGAGAATCAAGGTCATTTGAAGAAAGTAAAGTAGCAGGCCAAAATAAGTGGGATATAAACTCAATGTACCGTAACTTTTTTAAAAAAAAGGAACTTCAGTAACTGAAGCAAATTTTCTGCTTCTTTTAGATCAGAGCTTTTATATGCTTCTTGTGTTAGACCTCACCCCCAAGTTCAGCTCCTGATATGGTCCATTAATTGTGTGCCTGTATGTATTTATCATTTATTTATGAACATATTAGATTCTTCTAGTAGAATGTGTACCTTAGAATCCCTCATAGGATGTAGAACTAGAACATTAGAGATCATCTAGTCCAATGCCTTCATTTGACAGAGAAGGAAACTGAGGCCTGAAGAAGTAAAGTAACTTGCCAGTGTTCCACAGCTCCCAAGTACCAGAGCTGCGACTCAAAACCAAATCTTTGACTCTCAATCCAGTGTGGTTTTTCTCATCATTATCCTTCACTGCCTCAGATGCTGAGTTGTTACTACTTCATTATGGGAAGATTTTCCCTAATAAGGACCTTCCATTTTCAAGGTCACTAATACTTAAATGTTTTGTGTTGTGCAAGTTTGAGAGTGATGGAGATAAAGTTAATAGAGATAAAAATCTCTCTCCAAGAGGGTGTGATGGAAAGGAGTGCCCCAACCAGCCAACCCCCACCTGTAGTTCTGTGAGGTTGAGCCATGGGGAGTGAAGGGAAATGAGGACTGGGATAATGCTCCCTTATTTCTACTCTCTGTAGCTGACATCAGCTGCTTTGGAGGAGATTGTTATATGCTTGTCTTTGGGGTCTCTGGATTATTTCAGCTGTCTGCAGTGGGTAAGTTGGGTCACAATGGGGTAGTAGTGAGGGGAGGGGTGCTTATTTCCAAAAATTGAGGAGTGTAAAGAAAGCAGCAAGGACAGCTACCTGAATGAAGCAACAGTAGTAGTCAAGACTTCTGAATTCCCACCCTGAGAAAGTGCTTTCTCATCCAGATCTTTTATTTCTTTTATTTTCAATTGACCAGCACTTATTTTCTTTCTCCATCTTCCCCCAATCCCCAAAATGAACCAAAATCTTTGTAAGAAATTTGCAGAGTCAAGCAAAACAAATTTGTACATTGACTATGTAACAATGTATGTCTCATTCTGCATCTTGAGGACATCTCCTCAAGATATCCTCTTGGGTGGGTCGTGTTTTTAATTGTCGGTCTTCTGCAAATATGGTTAGTCATGGCACAGATCAGCATTCTTAGACTTTTACAAGTTGTTTTTCTTTTTATTATTATTATTTTTTAAATTTTAAATTAATTAAGTTATTTTTAGTTTTCAACATTCACTTCCATAAGCTTTTGAATTTTCTATTTTCTCCCCTTCCCTTCCCTTCTCTCACTCTTCCCCAAGACAGCATGCAATCTGATATAGGCTATATATACACATTCATATTAAACATCAAGTTGTTTTTCTTTATAATATTTTTATTGTATAATTTACTCTCCTGTTTTTGCTCCCTTCAATCTGTATCAGTTTATATAAGTTTCCCAGCTTTCTCTGGAACCATCCCTTTCATTATTTGTCATGGCACATTTTCCATTACACTTACATAGCATAATTTGTTAGTAAATGACAGAGTTGCCAGTTGGCACCTCTTTCTGTTCTCTGAACAAGGTCAGGGTCCTTTGTAGCAGATCTGGGACCTATGCACAGATGAGGCACTTCCTAAGCTGGAAGGCTCTTTGTAAGGCACTCCTGGCTCAACGCTGTCTCCAATGTCTGCAGTCCTCTCTGTCTCCCTATGCTGACCTGGGCTAGAAAAATTGACTCACTTTTTTTTTTTTGGATTTCCCAATCAGGAATCAATGTGTGTGTTTGCTAGATCCTTGTGGTGTAGAGTTTGGGTCTACTTTATCCTTCCAGTCTGTAATCTTGACTTGTCTCTCCCCCTGAGTCTTAAAACCTTTAAGGAGAGTCACTGTGACCCATACCCACTTTCCCATATTTCCCAGATGAACAGGTCCAGTGAATTATTCACCAACAAGTATGGAAAATTCTCTAGAAATAAGAATAATGGTTTACCCTGGAAAGACTTATATGAACTGATGCAAAGTAAAATAGGTAGAACCAGGAGAACATTGTACACAGTAAAACAGCAATATTGTAAAGTGATCAACTGTTAATGACAGCAATTCTCAGCAATACAATGATCCAAGGCAACTCTGAAGGATTTATGATGAAAAATGATGAAAAACTGATAGAGTTTGAATACAAATTGAAACATACATTTTTTTACTGTCTTTATTTTTCTTTATTTTTTTTGTCTATATTTTCTTTTACAACATGACTGATATGGAAATACATTTTACATGACTATATGTGTATAGCCTATATCAAATTGTTTGCCTTCTCAATGAGGCAGGGGGAGGGAGGAAGAGAAGTTGGAACTTAAATTTTTAAAAATGAATGTTAAAAATTGTTTTTACATGGAATTGGGGAGAAGTAAAATACTAAATAAATAATTGAAAAAAGAATAATGGCTTACAATTATGTAGGACTTTACAATTTACAAAGCATTTTTCTCATGGTAAGACTGAAAAAAACTTACTTAAATCAAAACAAGTTGAATTTCTGGGGTCCATATAGCTCATTTTTAAAGAATCTCCCTAACATGTTTTTACTAGTATATATTCAACCTCAGCATAATATCAAGATTACAGGTACCAGGGGGCAGGTAGGTGGTACAGTGGAAAGAGCTCTGGCCTTAGAGGCAGGAGGACCTGAGTTCAAATTGCCCTCAGACACTTGACACTTACTAGCTGTATGACCTTGGGCAAGTCACTCAACCACAATTGCCTCTCCAAACCCCCTTCCCCCAAAAAAGATTACATGTACCATATAAATGTCAGTTGAAAGAACAAATCCCTCAGCATCAGAACACTTGAACCATGGGATGCTATATAAATCTAAGTTATTGTTTTTGTTATTCTTATATGATCCAATACTACTAAAAACACAAGCCTGTTCCAGGAGCCAAAGAGCTGTAACTCTGGCTCTGTAAATTCATATTAAGGGAATAGAAACTGAGTCCTTCTCAAGAGAGTACTCTAGATTCTTATTCAGACGCAGCAAAGGTGAATGAGCAGAATGAGTATGTGGAGCTAATGGAAGGGATTCAATGTGTTTTCCATTTCACATGTGACATATGTGGGCCTGTCTACCTCAATTCCTGCTCTTCCAATAATTCTGAGAAACTCTATGCATTTCTTTTCAGTTGTGTTCTCATTTGGAAGTGAGATGTACAAAATAATTCCTCCAGAAGGAGACATCATGCTTAAAGTCTGCAAATGCATGTGGGTGAGTCATTAGATTTTTAAAAATCCTTTTTTTCCTATTTTTAAATTGAAAGGTAATAATTATAGTGGTTTGACTGGTCCAAATTTAAGATTTCATTGGTGTAGGAAACCCCTAGTAAGGAAATTCCTTTTATTAAAACAACCTCAACTATCTTTGATTTATAGTCTTAGAGATTAACCTAGAGTACTGAGAGGGTGTGACTTGTCCAAGGTCACATTACCAGTGTTAGAGACAGGACTTGAACAGCAGTTTTCCAAACTCCAATATCTACTACATGCTACCACTCAGTATTAGGACCAAACAGCTGTAAACATCATTACATGTTTTTATTTTTCACCTCATGACTCTTGGGGATTGTTTCCTAGCTATCCTTTTTGCCAAGTTAAAGTTCGTCTTACCTCTCTGCTTAAATATCTTTAATCAGGCAAAACTCTTACCACATCCTGGTTGGACAAGGTATTGTTCAGGGGAACAAGGATAGAAATAATAACCCCTGGAAGATGCTGAAATTCTATGACTAATCTGATTCTGGGAATGATTATAAATCATAGATGGATCATAAAATCACAGAAGATAAATGTGTGCTCGCTCTTTCTGTGGTGGCAAAGAATTTGAAATTGAGGGGATGCCCATCAATTGAGGAATGGCTGAACAAGTTGTGGTATATGAGTGTAATAGAATACTATGGTGCTATAAGAAATGATGAGCAGGCAGATTTCAGAAAAACCTGGAAGGACTTGTATGAACTGATACTGAGTGAAGTGAGCAGAACCAGGAGAATGTTGTATATGGTAAGAGCCATGTTATGCACTGACTGACTTTGATAGACTCACCTCTTCTCAGGAATGCAAGGATCTAAGACATCTCCAAAAGTCTCATGATGGAAAATGCTATCCACATCCAGAGAAAGAACTGTGGAGTTTGAATGCAGATTGAAGCATACTATTTGCTCTTTTTTTCTTGTTTTGTTTTTTCTTTCTTGTGTTTCCTCCTATTGGCTCAATTCTTCTTAACAACATGACTAATGTGAAAACATGTTTAATAAGAATGTATATGTAGAGCCCATATCAGATTGCACACCATCTTGGAGAGGGAGGTGGGGAGGGAGGGGGGAAAATTTTAAATTCAAAAGCTTATGAAAGTGATTGTTGAAAACTAAAAATAATTTAATTAATTAAAAAAAAGGATAAATGTATGCTGTAGGGAGGAAAGTAGATAAGGGTAGGTCTCTTCTCATGACGCTCTGCTTTTTTATAGTTTGCTATTTCAAACCGTCTGAAGAACCGTTCCAGAGATATTCCAAAGAGAGAGCATTGGCTAGACTGGGCAGCTGAAGAGTATCCAGTGAGTCATGATTGTAGGCTTAAGTTGTCTACCAGCAGTGAAGACTGTCGTGACAGCTGACATTCCTCTGTCTTTCATCTCAAGAAGCTATTTTCTGGTGGCCTGGGAGCAACTCTCTCTGCTCCCAGGACTTTTTTGGGCCATCATTCCTTCCGTGTCTAGCTGCTCCATAATTTTCCCCACCTTCCTCCCATGATAATTTAGTGTAGATCAAATCAGACAGTGTCAGATTCTGATGGAGTTGGTATGTGACTATTTATATGGTTGGTACATGAGTGCATGAGTGGGTGCTTGATGGGCTTCGCTAATCATTGTGGCCAAGTTGTATAGTGTTGGAGCTATAGAAAAAAACAGCCAGCTCCTAGCTGGTCTCCACAGGACAGGAAATAGCAGAGTTACCATGGGAAACCAAGGAGACTCAGATATAACAGGGCATGAGCATCTCAAAATGGAGTACAGATAAGTCTTCTGTGCTGAATAGAAACCCAGTCATCCTGGGGACAGCAGCCTGAGAAATCCTCGGTTAAAAAACAAACAAACAAATGTCTAAAAGGGGCATAAGCCCAAGTTATCTTAGCTCATTTCTTCCCTAGTTTCTGCATAGGATTGTCCCTCCCCTCATCCAGAAGCAAGGAGTTCTTTCTGTTTAGAAGGATATCTAGAGGAGATTACATAGACCTATTTACTTCACTGCTTCTATTGTTAGAGTTCTTCCAAATGTCCAACTTAAGTTCTTCTGACTGAAAATTTGATTCTGTTCTCTTACTACTCTGTAATCCTTGTGCTCTGTGTATCGATTCCTAAAGTGGAATTTTTGGAAGCACATTTTTCTTCTTTTTCTTATTTCCTGCAGAAGCAGCTCATCTTAGAGGTAAAAGCACTGACTCGTGTGCTGTTCCTATACATCCCATTGCCGATGTTCTGGGCTCTGTTCCATCAACAGGTAAGAGTTTCTGAAAGTGATTTCTGTCTAGACCTTACTCTTACTAGGTTTCCTTCTTATCTTTGTTATGCAGAGAGATGGGTTCTTCAAAAGTTGGAGTAGATTCCCCAAACTGACAAAATTGAAGTGAAGCCAGTGTAGTACTTATTTCTTAATAGAACCAGTTCTGCAGAAGAGCCCAATTCTGTGTGCATATACCTCCTTTCTGTGAGGACTGGGAATGACATAACTTCCACAGTTTATCATTTGTTTACTTACCTCTGGTAACAGCCCTAAAGCTAAGTCAGGAGGACATCAGAAACTACTTCCCCAGGTATTGAGGAGTCATTGTGTTTCCTGTTTGGGATAAAAGAACTACCATAACCCCAAGTCTATCTTGGGCTGCCCTTAGTATCTCTGGGACAATTCACTATTAGAAGAGGACAGGGAATGGAATAATCCTGATGAAGCAGAGAGCATGTTATACAATATGTAAAAATAGTGTAGCCCACACATTCTCCAGAATATGTCCCTTCCCTCTAGAAATAAACTTTGTCTTAGTCCTATAGTAGAGGATAAGAAGTGTTTGTGAATGAAGGACTTTTTTTTTTTTAAGGAAAGGCATAGTAGCCCACACATTCTCCAGAATATGTCCCTTCCCTCTAGAAATAAACTTTGTCTTAGTCCTATAGTAGAGGATAAGAAGTGTTTGTGAATGAAGGACTTTTTTTTTTTTAAGGAAAGGCATAATGCAGCTGGAAACTTAGGGTTTGGGATTAGCTGGAGCCTTTATTGATTAATGGGGTAGGCAACAAGATATGATGGAAAGAGTACTGAGTCAGAGGATGTAGGTTCAAATCCTGACTGTGACACTTATTGCCTGCATGACCTTGAGCAAGACACTTAATGTTCCTGGCCCTTACTTTGCTCACCTGATAAAATGAGGGAGTTGGACGAGATGGACTCTAAGGTCCCTTTTAGCTCTAAAGGTCAATGATGTGGTCCAATACCCTGGAAAAGTCTTTGGTAATGATTACATGCCCTTTATATTACGTAGGTGAGGAAACAGGTATTAAAAATGGAAATTTTATGCTGGAGATTCATTTATTAATCTTTGGCTGAACCTTGAAAGGCATCCAGACATCCTAAACCCAATTTAGCACTTTTCCCAGAAGATCAGACTGCCTGATTTCTTTGTAGGAGCCCAGCACTAACTTTCCAGATGATACCCATGTGACCAGGGCTTGCGTCCTATCAAAAGGGAGAAAATGAGATGAAGCATTCACCCAAACCCACAGAGGGAGAGGCTCCAAGTACCCTTTACATCTTTTGCTTTGCTTAAGCCCCCCCACCTTCATCTCTAAAATAACATTTCCTTTCACTCTCAATGATTTTAAGAAAGGAAGAGGAGATTCTTCCTATCCATGAGGGAGGTACAGTTTCTAATGATAAGGAAAAAATGACATGAGAAAGAGGGTATGGGGGAGGATATGGGAAATGGGAAAGTGAGGGGAGGAGAAAGAGGAGAAGCAAGGAGACGTTCATGGAATGAGGGACTGATACCCTCCCCATCCTGTTTGTCTCCATGAAGCTTGTGCTTTCTCCCCACAGTGTATGAAAGTTCTCACACCGGCATCTCTCTGCCCTAGGGCTCTCGGTGGACTCTGCAAGCCACCAGGTTGAATGGCAATATGGTGAGTAGTCAATTCTTAATATTTATTCTATAAACTTTTCTATCCATTTTCATTTTGGTTTTTTAAAATGTGTTATTTTATTTTTCAAATGATATATATTTTTAATTAATCTGACCTTGCCACTATCTTTCTCCCCCATTGAACAAAATTTTAAAATCCCTCAATACATATCTACATAGTCCTGCAAAACAAATCTCTGCATTAGTCCATGAAAACATATGTCTGCATTTTAAGTTCATCACCTCTCAGAACGTGGGTGACATGTTTTATCTTCATTCTTTTGGACTCGTGGTTTGTCACTGTGTTGGTTACAATGCTAAAGTTTTTCTAAGTTGTTTTTCTCTGTAGCATTATTACTGCACATATTGTTCTCCTAGTACTACTCACTTCGTTTTGAGAAGTTCATAAAAGTGTTTCCAATTTCCTCTGAAATTGTCTGTTTCATTATTTCTTATGACACAATGATATTCTACTACATTCATTTGCTACAATTTGTTAACCATTCCTCAATAGGAGGATAACCTCTAGTTCCCGTTTTGGGTTTACTTATTCAATCTTTTCTCCTACTGCTACCTAATATGAACCCCCCTATTCTAGGTTCTCTGTTCCTCAGACAGTAAACAGAATACATACTGACTCTAGGCACAGCTGCTGTCTATGGTGCTGACACGGATCCCCCATCAAGCCTTTGTTCTTCCACCCCAGGTCCTGTGGCAAACAGTTTAAGTAGTTCAACAGTCCTACCTGTCCTGTTAACGAAGGAAGAAGAAATGGAAAAAAAGGGGGAGAAGTGGTCCTGAAAGATTATCTAGTCCTATTTTATCATTTAGAGATTAAGATAAAGTGACTTACCCAAAGTCACATAGCTATTTAGGGGCACAAATAGTGCTGAAACCTATTTCTCCTTACTCTTAATCTAGTATTTTTTCCTATACACTATGGCACTGCGACCTGAAATTGATTTCCCTGTATTGTCTTGACTCATTTTGATACTTCATCCTATTGTATCTTGTGTTGTTACCTGTCTCATTCCTGTGTCACTTGTCTTCCCAACAATATTGGAAACTTTCTGGGATTGGGAACCACAGTTTTGACATCTTTTGTTTATTCCAAAGCACTCATTACAGTTCTGAGTACTAAATATGTATTTGTTTAATTGAAGTGAATTTCCCCTCACTTACAGTTAAGCAGATCAGTTCAATGATTTTCCCTGAACACAGAAGCCTATTGACCCATCCCATTCATCTATCTCTAGCATCATGTATTTACACCATAAATGTCTGCAAAATATACTACTGTAGCAGTCTCAGAAGCAATCTCATTGGTGCAATGACAGAAGATAGGCCCTTAGAGAAGCAATGTGTTTCTTAATGTTCATGGTCAAGTTGAATCAGAAATCACTTCTGAGTTTGGAAAAAGTTTAGCTAACCCTCTTGCCTCAAGCATTATTCACAAGGTTTTCTTGGTCCCATTCACACTGATCAGTGCTAATCCCTTGCTCTGTATAGGTCATACTGATCTATTAGATTGTGATATTCATGGAAGTAGAAACCTTTTATTATGTAAACTTGATATGTCCCTCTGCTTCTAAGTACAGTGTTCTGAGTAACATAAACACTTAATAATAATAGCTAGCATTTATAGAGGGTCTTAAGATTTAGAAAATACTTTCCATGTATTATTTTATTTGATCCTCACAACAACCTCATAAGATAGGTACTTTTTGTTATTCCCATCTTAAAGATGAGGAGATTAAGGCCCAGAGAAGTTGTGTCATACCCTGGGTTACATAGTTAATAAGAATTTGATACAGGTTTAAAATTCAGGTCTTCCTGATTCTATCTACTACAGTGCCTAGTGGCTTTTAGTGAAGCTTAACAATTTTTTAATTGAGATACAGTAGTGCTTTCCTTATGATTCCAATATCAGTATTATCTTCCTACATCAAAGATCCTTAGAGCCCCATCTAAATACAGAAGGAATAGAGCAGAAAGATCAATTTGTATATTTAAATATTGCTTGATTTCTTCCTTCATTCGATTAATGAGCATTTAGTGCCTGCCATGTTGTATCATGACCTGTGTTAAGTGTTGGGAATACTAAGACAACAGCGAAAACTATCTCTACCTTCAATGAGTGTAATGGGGGAATGTAAACACATGTTAAGCACATATAGAATATATGCAAAATGAATACAAAGAAATTTTGGGAGAGGGTGCACTAGCAGATGGAAGAACTAGCAAAGGCAGCATTTGAGGCAGTATATGATGTGGATTGTAGTTCATGATTTTTTGAAGGGACTCAGCATATCCTAATTCACTTGCTAATATTAACAGATAGTGTTGGTTATTGGTTTGGTAATACTTAATTAGCTGTTTCATTCTGTTTCAGGGATTTTTTGTAATCAAGCCTGATCAAGTTCAGGTAAGAATCTGTACTACTACCATGGTGTTCTACTTTCTTGCCATCTCCAAATTTACTTTGCTCAACATTTTATAGCTCAAACTAAATGACACATGATAAGTTTAGAGTAGGAAGACAAGGTTTAGGGAGAAGATTTTTGTGAATGGGAGCAGAAGGAAATTGAAGCTTTTAGCATTCCCTTTCAGTCTTGGTATAGGCAGTTCCAGGGTGATTTGCATGGACCCAGTCTGGTGATGAGGGGTTTGGTGGAAGTTTAAAGGAATATATTTGCCCCTGCTCAAATAGCAGATTGAGTTCAAGGGGGTGGCAGGTAATAGGGTGGGAAATCAGTTCAAAAGACAGATATAACCCAAGCACAGTGATTTTGTTTTTGGAGGGGGAACGGTGACAGCCTATCGCAGCTATGGGTTTGACTCATAAAAGTCTGAAATGTCCTAAGGCTATGGCTAAAAATGCTGAAACACCCTCCCTATAAAGAAGAGGTTTTATATGCTAAATTTTAAAATAGGGCTTAATTCTCAATTATTCCCTAGTTTCAAAGTATCTGAGAATCGGGAGGAAAATCAGTGTGAATTAGAGAACTTTCATGCAGGGGAAGGGTTTGATTCTCTTTTTAACTCATGTCCAAATATTTGAATGTAATGGTTTTTCACTCAAAAGGAGCAAGATTCCAAGAGAGCCCTTCAGACAGATACAGTACAGTTCCTCTCCAGCTATCTCTTTGCTGCTTTCTTTTTACAAATCTTCATTCTCATAATGACTTGTCATAACTCTTTCTAGCCAATCTAGTGTCTTCTCTCTTCCCAAATTACCAAGGGTTAAAAGAAGCATATGGTGGGTGACTAATTATCTGAATGTCTCTGAGTATGGGCTTATCACTGATTTTTCTTATCTGGTGTCACAGTTGTTGAATCCCTTCTTGATTCTCATCCTTATCCCAACATTTGATTTGGTCATCTACCCACTAATCAAGATGTGCAGAATCACCTTAAAGTAAGTCTTTCTTGTACTCCTCCCCTAGAATGTTCTTCTGAGATATCTCTATTTCCAGGAAGAACCGTTCCTCCCAAAGTTCATCCAGGGTGATATGTTTCATATTGGTAAAATTCTTTAGAGAAAGAGATAATACAGATTAGTTATATTCAGTACAGGGCTTTTTGGTTTGTTTTCATTCTATGAATTGGGAAATAGAAGTGGAAAACATGTGGATCCAAATTATGCAGTCAATTAAAGAAGGAAAATCAGATATATATCCTAGCTCTACTGCTAGGCTCCTTGCATGATTGACCCAAGGTAAAACCAAGAAACAGGAAAAGTTAATTTTTGGGTTCCTTCCCTGTAGTGTCTCTCTTCCCTCTCTCTTCCCTTCTCCCTCATTCCTATCAAAATTTGCTTTCAGAATATGATTTATGTCAGCTACTTATGCCTTAGTATCAACTTAAGGAAAGAAGGAAACAAGCATTTATTAAGCACCTACTATGTGTCAGGCACTATGCTAAGCACTTTAAAAATATTACCTCATTTAAACTCCTGACTATCCTAGGTGATAGATGCTATTATTATCTCTGTTTTACAGTTAAGGAAACTGAGGCAGACAGATAAAGTAACTTGCCCAAGGTCACATAGTAAGTTTTTGAGCATTAGGTCTTCTGAGGGTTATTTTCATTTATTATCTCTAACTGAAGAAAGAAAGGCTTTGTTCTTTCTGAAAAGAATTTATGGCATCCAGAAATAATGAGAGCTATGGGCATAGTGGAGAGTGCAGGCCTTGGAATCAGTGAGACCTAGGTTCAAATCCTGCCTCACTAGCTTTCTCAGCCTCAGCTTCCTCATCTGTAAAATATGGGGTTGAATCAAGGAGGTAATTGGTGATTCAGGACAGCTCATTCAGGCCTAGATATACAAATTTGGGAATCACCTTCATAGAGATGATAATTGAACTCATGGGAGCTGAAGAAATCATCCAGGGAGAGAAGATGTAGAAAGAAAAGAAGGCCCAATACAGAGCTTAGGGACATTGAGTTATGGGATGGGAGAAGGGTGACGGTCCAATAAATTAGCCTGGGTAAGACAAGTAGTTAGGAGGAGGTCCAGGAGAGAGCATTATCCTGGGAAACAATTATGATTATTACAGGGGAAATAATAACAACTGGTATATAATGCTTTGAGGTTAGCAAAGTATATGTTAACTCATTTTGTCCTCACAACAACCTTGTGAGGTAGGCCTTATTCTTATCCCCATTTTACAGATGAAGGATCTGAGGCAAAGAGAGGGTTCAGTGACTTGCCCAGGGTGATGTGGTTAGTAAGTATCTGAGGCAGGATTTAAACTCAGAAAGAAAAAAAAATATGGGGTTGAACTCAATGACTTTTAAAGTCTCTTTGGGCTCTAGATATCTATTATCTTGTGAAATTTTCAAGGGAAGATATTTTAAGGCAAGGGGACTTTCTGCGAGGAGGTGTATACAAATGTATAAAATGTATAAAATGAGGGTACTTCCTGATCACACCATATATGAAGCACTGTCTATGAGTATGACGAGCTCTTGCTTCATGTTCAGACTCATCAAGTTTTCTCTGTTGTGTGAAGATCTTTTATTTCTGGGACCCAATGATTTTGAGGATTCCCCCAAACAATTGATTTACTAGTTATATGTTCTTGGGAAATCACTTCATTGCTCTGTACCTTCTTATCTATAAAATTAGGGGGAAGAGTAAAATGATCATCCCTTCCAGCACTAATGTTCTTTTTCATTTCCCAAGAGTTCCATGATTACATATGCAACAAGCACTCCCAGAATTCCCCTAGCACAAAATCACAGAAGAACTAAAAAAGTTTTGTTACATTCTCTTTATGCCTTTTTATTAAGATCTTGAACATAGAAGTACTTGCATTTATAACAATAATAGTTAACCTTTATTTAGCTCTTTAAAGTTTGCAAAGAGCTTTACATATATTATCTCATGATCACAGTGTACCCTCAACTGAACAATCCATTTTTTGGAGGGGCTTGGCAGGGGGTAGGGAAGAGAGTTTGTATAGAGCAGCTCCCTTTTACATGGCCAGCCTCTGGCAAAAGCAAACTGAAAAAAAATTCTCTGGCTAAGGATATTGTCTAAGACTCAAGCAACTTCAGTTGTGGGTTCTAGACTTGTTAAAGGGAAAAAATTCAAGGAGAATTTCCAGTGCTTCATGTCTTTCTCTATTAAGCTTCCCAGCAGTTTCTCCCCTCAAACAGGAGCAATCTCCCCAAGAACTGGGTTTTTTTGCTTGGTATTTCCCCCTTATCAAACAGAGATAAATAATTATTCAGCAGATATTTTGAAAGTATTTCCTTTCTTCCTCACGTCTTCCTGTATTTAAGAGACTGCCTGATTTAGTGCCAAGTTTATGAAAGAAGCTAGAAGTGTGCTAATGGGGACCTGTAAATTCTAACCTATGTTAATTTACCATTTTACTATCACTAATAATACATTATAATATGATATGGTATGACAATATATAATGGAGTGTAACACTGCATAACATAGTTGGGGGAGGGGGGAGAGGATGGGGGGTCTGGACCTGTGATTTCATTTGTTTGGGCAACTAACAGTATTGGCAGTTGGAGGCTTCCTAAGGCACTGATAGTAACTTGCCATGCTCTCCCAGCTACTGTAACTCAGAGACAAGAATCAAATCTAGGTATTTCTGATTCCAAGTCTGACCATCTAACCAATATGCCAGGCTATTTCTCAATACAACAACAGTAATAGTAACAACAATATAAAAAAAATGACAATAATGCATATGCCTAAAGGATACCATCCTGTGAAGAAATATAAGTAATGGCAGGAAGGGTAGTATGGAGAAACATCCCCTTTGGTTAGAGAGGTAGGGATAGCCCCTCTCTAAGTACGCACATATACACATGTGCATGTATACAAATTCACATTCAATATTTTTGTCCTAGAGCAGTTGAAAAGCCTGTGTGTTTTAGGAGGTAATGGAAGCCATTTGAAATAAGTTAGTATAAAGAAATATACTTAATTAAAATGATTTATTAAATGGTTTAACCATATTGACCTATGGTAATTTTGATTCAATAAAGTGTGAACTTTTTAAAAAAAGTCAGATTGCTAGACCATGCTAAACTATACACTCAACAACAGTTAGTACATTGGAACCGTATGAGACAGATACACTGATATCTAATGCCTCTGCTTTTAAATGCAGGAAGTCAGAGAAATCTGAGTGAAACAGGGTATTACACGGAGGCTATTTTACTTTATTGTTTGGTTGAGGTGGAAGATTCACTTTTCCTGGTGTGGCCTAGGCAAAATCTATGTCACATTAAGTGTAACTGCCTTTTCATGGGCCACTCGTTATGATCTTTTGTCCCACAGATTTTTTTTCTCCGTCCCTCTGCAGACCCATTACTAAGATGGTTATTGGAATGATTCTGACAGCCTTGGCATTTGTTGCTGTAGCCATTCTACAGTTTAATGTGATGTAAGTATAGACCATCATAGTGCCCAGAACCCCAGGGGTTATAGAGATTGGAAGGGTATCAGCCCATTGCTTTGAGTTTAGAATTTTTCTACTAATTGTGGAAAACACTCCTTTAGTTGTACATTTTGCAGTGGCAATTAGTATAAACTGTTTGTCAGATTATGTAGTAAACTGTTTTGTATCAGATGGATACAAAGTGAAAATATCCCATATCATCACCCAAGTCACAGGTCTAAGGATTATCTATCTGGCCCATCCACACCTCATTGTTCAAGGTAACTCCTTTGTGAGACAATCTATTTAAATAGGGGTTATTTAATGATTTATGAGGAGTGTATAAGAGGAAGCCTGTTGTGCTGGTTTGATTGATTGCATCTGTTAATCTTTCTTTGTGAGTTTTCCTGTGTCCTTTTCATGTGTGTGTTCCTTTTTTCCACATTATATATCTAAGGTCCACATGGTTAGGAATTGGGTTTTCTCTATACACTCACCATGTCTAGTCCAGTTTTCTATGTAAAGCATTAAGTATAAGAAACATCTCAGTTACCTGAAGATTAGCCTCCTAGCAGCCTAAAGAATATGAACAATTGTGAATATGGAAGTAAAACTAAATTTCCATCAGCGAGGACAGAACCTATAAAGAGCAAAAATAGCTAAAGAGAGCTCCAGCACCAATGGTTCGAATACTCTACACAACACAATGAGATTGGTCACACAGTGAGATTTGTTGACCAGAAAGGAATATTCTAATCAACTAGTGATGGCTGTAAAAGTCAGTCCTATCAGTCTGAAAGCCAAGAAGCCCAGGAAAACAGCAGAGGAAGGAGGATTTTATGTTAAAATTAAAAAAGACAAGAAAAAAACCAGGGAAAAAGTGAAATGGCAGACAGAAACCTTCATGGAGATTAGGAATGATGCTGGTGGTGGGGGTGGGGTAGGGAGAATAGATACTGGCAGGATGAAGAAGTGAACCAACTATGAGGAGAGTCCTAGAACAGCTCTAAAGTACAAGGAGAAACACTCAGCAAGACAGTGATGGAAAGAGCATCATGGGACCAAAATAACTGGGTTCAAATTCTGACTCTGCTACTTACTACCTATGTGACCTTGGGCAAGACACTTAACTTCAGTTAAGACAGTTTAGACACTGAGCTTCAGTTATCTTATATACCAAATTTGATATATATACACATATATACACACACATACATATACACACATACACATGTATATATGCACATATATACACATATGTATGAATGCATATATATATTACATATATACAAATATAACATATATATATTACACACATATATATGGCTCAATTATCACTAAGGTTCCTTCCAGCTTGAAATCCTATGGAATTGCTTGCATTTCTAAAGCATTTGAAGAGTTATAAGAAGTTCTGTTCCCAATTCTCTGAGATAGGTAGTGACAGTAGCATCATTCAGTAACTCCTTAGGAGCATCCTTAGGTGATGCTAAAACACATCAACCTTAAGACATTTCTGTAATCTTGTGTAAGGGAGTGTTAGGCATCTAGTGAAAGGTTAGGCTAAGTCCTTTAATAGCTTCATCAAGTATCTTTCAAGTAGTGCCATATGGAAGGCACTAGGACTGTTCTGAAGTTGGGACAGGAAATGTCAGAAGGGAGGGAGGATTGTACCATAGAATTCACTTGTGGTACAGTGATAAAGTTATAATATAATAGAATACTTTAGGTTGGATGGTAGCATATATGCAAGAATGAAAACATATATAACATAGATTTGCAAAGTTCCTCCTATGTCCTTTAGAAAAGCCAAAAGACTGAGTGAGCTATGGCTTAAAAAACAATATGGAGGCATATATAGGATGTGTATGATTTGAAAACTTTGAGCACAGGAAATTTGATAGCTTGTCGAAATGGTTTTTTCCCTCAATTCTGAGTGAAATAGTTTTTTGAACACTGTCATCCCAATGCATTTGGCTAAATCTTCTCTTATCTCTTTCCATTTTTTTCCTTCAGAGATTTTGTCCTCTTTAGTCCTTAGAACATTACTTCAGATTAAGCACTCAATAAATGTTTGTTTAATTTACTAGATCTCCTAGATATCTCTTAGACATGGCATATGGCATATCTATATCCATATATATCTTATATGTTGTTATAAAGTATCTTTTATGAGCAAAAAGATCAGAGGACGTTTTACTTCCTTTTTTGGGGGAGGGGTGAGGCAATTGGGGTTAAGTGACTTGCCCAGAGTCACACAGCTAAGTGAGTGTTATGTGCCTGAGGCCAGATTTGAACTCAAGTCCTCCTGACTTCAGGGGCAGTACTCTAACCACTGTGCCACCTAGCTTCCCCTTGCTTCCTATTTTATAATGCAAATCAAGACCACCAGGGATGGATCCAGGTAGAAAAATAACTGATGATGAAAATATAGAACTGCTCAAATATGATTTTGCTTCTGTTTTCTTTGAATGCTCTTTAGACTGCGAAGGATAGACCAAAAAAAAGTTAGCAGGCAGCAGAGTCCAAAGATTAGTGAGGCATCTAGCTTTCCTTAATAAGTTCAAGTTAACAAGGTCCTAAAGAATTATTTCCTTGGGTTCTGAATGACTTGACAGATGTAATTGTTGCAAGATCTTGGAGAATGGGAAAAATGCACAGAAATAGAAAAGACAAATGTCTTCATTTTTAAAGAAAGTAAGAGGGGAGAGTTTGTAGACTATAGAGCAGTAAGCTCAACCATTTTTGGCAAAATTATAGAACAGAATTATAGAGAATTATTAATGGAATAGTTAGTGAGCCCTTAGAAAAGCAGTAATCACTAAAAGCAAGTATGATTTCCTCAAGAATAGTGAGTATTAGACTAATCTCATTTCCTTGTTTGATAGAGTAATTAGGGGAATGCTACAGACATAGAACACTTCAATTAAGCAAAGCATTTGACAAAGTGTCGCACAATATTCTTGAGCAGAAGATGAAGAAACATGGGTTGAATGATAGTACAGTTAAATGCGTTTAGATCTGATTAATGACCAGAGCAAAGAGCTGTTATTAATGGTTATTTGAGGTCAACTTGGAAGTTTCCAGTGGAAGGCCTCTGGGATCTGTTCTTGGTGCTGTGCTATATTCAATAATTAGTGACTTTGGTGAAGACCTAGATGGCATGCTTGTCAGATTTACAAATGAAGCATAGAAGGATAGTGAGCATGTTGGATAACAGAGTCCAGATTTAAAAAAGATAGTAACAGGTTGTTAAGATGGGTTGAGTTGAATAAGATTATGATTATTAAAAATAAATATAAAATCTTAAGTTTCAAAAATCAATTTCACAAATACAGTATAGGGAAAGGAAGGCTAGATGACAATTCCTATGAAAAAGGTCTGGGCAGGGCAGCTAGGTGGTGCTGTGGATAGAGCACTGGCCCGGGAGTCAGGAGGACCTGAGTTCAAATGTGACCTCAGACACATAACACTCACTAGCTGTGTGACTCTGGGTAAGTCACTTAATCCCAATTGCCCCACAACAAAAAGGGAGTCTGGGTATTTTAGTGATCTGCAAACCCAGTATGAGTCAAAAGTGGGACATGCGGCCAAAAAATGGAATGCTATCCTAAGTTGCATTGATAGAAGCATAGCATAAAGAACAAGGGAAATAACAGTTGTGATATATTCAGCCCTTGTCAGGACACATCAGCAGTACTGTGTCAGTCAGTTCTGGGCGCCACAGGAAAGACATAGACTAGCTTGAGTGTGTCTAGAAGAGCGTGACCAAGATGTTGAGAGGCCTGCAGAATATGCAATGCAAGGATCAGCTGAAGAGACTGAGGATGTTTAGACTGTAAAAGAGAAGACTTAAAGGATACTGTACGCTCCATTCAAACGTCTGAAGGATCGTCATGTTGACTAAGGGATTTGTTCTGCTTGTCTCTGGAGGGCAGAACTGGGAACAACAGGTAGAACATTTTAAAAGGCCAACATAAGGGTAACCTTCCTTGCAGAGCAATCCCGAATCGGGCTGCCTCCAGGAGGTGGTTTTAGAGATCTTCAAGCAAAAGCTGGGGGGTCACTGTTACAGAAACTGTGGAAGGGAATCTTGGTCACGTAAAGGCTTCTGAAATCTCACCCGCTCTTAGGTTCTATGATCTTTCCTCTCTTTCCTTCTGTCCACTTGTATCCATCTCTTTTTTTGCACTCATTCTCTCTTCCTTTCTTCCTCTACCTGTACTCTTGATCATATCAACTCCTATACCTTTTTGTTCCCCCTCAGTTGTCTGAAATCCCTGAAACATCTTTAATCCTTCTTGCAAACATATATCTCTCCTAACTTGATGAACGCTATAGTTACCATCCCTATTTCTTGTCTTTATTTCATATCTACTTTTCTAGACTAAACAGTCTATACCAAATGCCTCCATTTCCTCACTATCTACTCTGTCCAACACACTTGCAATATGGCTTCTGATCCAGCAGTCTACTGAAATAGTTCTCCTAGAGGTCCCTTAATAACATCCTAAATGCCAATGGCCATTTCTTGGGTCTCTTTAACCAACAAAAATAGTTCTCAAAGGCTGCATCTCAAGTCTTATTAGATGCGCTACAAACTTCCCTATATCCTAAGATTCATCCCAAACGACCTCCTCTTCACCTTTATAAATGTTATGTGTACCACATTCTTTCAATCATTTAAGCTCAAAACTCTAGTCATCTCTGTCTCTTCCTTCTCTCTACTCTACCTCTTCCAATTAGTTGCGAAGTCTGTCACTTTTTCCTTTAACTTCTCACCACTGTCCCTTCCTTTCTGGCCTCTGGGCTCCCAAAACCCTAATTCACACTCCTATACCTCATTACTCAACCATTTTAATTGCCTCCTAACTTGTCTCCCTTTTCTAATCTATGCTTTACTTTGTGGCTAGGTAAATATTCCTTAAGATTCATATTTTCTGAAAAAATTATGAGAAATATGCCAATGATGAACAATCAAGCTGACTGAAGGGATTTTTTTTTTTTTAAAAA